AGCGTATGTAAATATAAAAGTGGACATTGAGAACAAGACTGTGTTTAAGCATGGAACAGACTGTCTAATTGAGGAACTAAGAATTATGGACACTCCCATACACATAACCGTCATAATAGGAAACAACTGTAAAAAAAAAAAAAATTTTAAATCTACATAAAATCTTGCAATCTCTCTCTCTCTCTATATATATATATATATATATATATATATATATATGTATGTATGTATTTTATTTTTATTCTTTTATTTTTATTTCTTATCTATTTTTTTTATTTTTATTTTAATTGGTGTTTTTATTAACGTAGTAAAAATTTGTTTATATAAATAAAAAATAAATGAATTTATAAAAATAAAAATAAATAAAAACAAGCAAAATAATTTAACCCAAATAAATAAACAATCAAATAAACGACTTCCGGTAAAATAACCGCCAAAATAGACTACCCACAATGCACCACTGACCCGTATATATAGATAGCCAAGAACAATAACAGCACTCATGGCCTGACGAGTGCGTCTAACATGAAACAGACTGTCGCCTCTAAGTGTTGACTTTTATGTTCACTTTTATATTAACACACGCTCTATCTCCGATATTGAGCACTTTATCCCATAAATATAGCACACCTTAAGACTATATTTCTTCATATATATATATATATATATATATATATATATATATATATATATATATATATGGCCGACTGCTCATTCTAAGCACCTCCGTCTGTTAGATTAATCCCTGTTGCAGACGCCTGCTCAGGTACATGTGTAGCGGACACTAGTTACAGTTTCTGTGAGAGAGCGCATAATCAGCTGTTTGAACATTGCCTTTACGTTCAAAATCCTCTGTCACGATGTCTGGTCACTTCGCGCTGGTACAGCGATCAAAGAACAGGTCTGTCTACTCAATTTCACGCTTGGGTCAAACCGCGGTAAGCATTTCAGGAATGACCCATAGGTGCCGTACGCTGAAATCGCCGATAACATCAATACGTCGCTTTCCTGACTATGGTGGGATTAGAACACAGGTTTCATTTTTTTTTAAAGTTAATTCATTAAGTAAGGTGATAATGCCACTAAGACGCAAGGAGCTACTAGAAGAGAAGGATTTTTTTTTTTATAGAAAAAACCGGATACTCAATTCTAAACAGAAAAGAAGTGATAAATCTATGCTCTTGTTCAAAAACTAAGGAGGTGGCGTGTCTACTGGAAGATTGGTTAAGATATCTACTCCTATTGAGGACAAATAAGTCAAAAATAAATAGTAAATAGTAGTTTAGATTTTCAAATGAAAACCAATCCTATAAAGGAACAAGGGTTAAACCTTTAATTCTGTTCAAAAGGCTGGGGAGAAATGTGAACCAGTTCAAAAACCTCAGTCACGATGACTTGTGATTTCATGCCATCGCAAACTACAATAGCTTCTAAACAATTTTTGTCTATCCGATTTCATTCATTAACCCGTGGTATGGTTTTTCAGATACTTGTTAATCTTGGCGCCCATTCATAAAAAACACTTTTTTTTTTGTTTTCAAGACCTACAGGGCCCACCTGTGATTTACACTGCAACTATGCTGAGTAGACTTTACTTACAGTTTTTGAGAAAGTAATCTTGCATGATCGGCAGTTTGAACAATGTCGGTACGCTCAAAAAATCTCGGTCATGCTAGTAGAAATATCGATGAGTTTCGTACAGTTCCATCTCTCCAATTTCAGTGACATGGCTTGGATCACTTCCCAAAGGTACCACTTGCTGGGATCGCTTCCCAAAATCGATAACATCAAGAAGTCACCTTCCTGACAAATGGACTTAGATTCGAACCCGAATCAGAAAGTTAACGTTCTAACTATGCTTGCTTGCTTGCTTGCTTGCTTGCTATCTATCTATCTATCTATCTATCTATCTATCTATCTATCTATCTCAGTCTCTTCAATATCTATCTATCTATCTATCTATCTATCTATCTATCTATCTCAGTCTCGTGAATATCTATCTATCTATCTATCTATCTATCTATCTATCTATCTATCTATCTATCACGATCTGTTCATTACCTATCTATCTAACACGATCTCTTCATTATCTATCTATCTATCTATCTATCTATCATGATCTGTTCATTATCTATCTAACACTATCTCTTCATTATCTATCTATCTATCTATCTATCTATCTATCTATCTATCATGATCTGTTCATTACCTAACACTATCTCTTCGTTATCTATCTATCTATCTATCTATCTATCTATCTATCTATCTATCTAACACGATCTCTTCATTATCTATCTATCTATCTATCTATCTATCTATCTATCTATCTATCTATCTATCACAATTTGTTCATTATCTGTTTATCTAAAACGGAAAAGTAAGAAAAAAAAGAAGGTTAAGAAGAAAAAAGAGAGGAAAATAAAAAATAATTCAAATAATAATAAAAAAAAAGGACAGAGAAAAAGACACAAATATCTAAAGAGAAAAAATAACGAGACATTGAAACGCAATGGCTGAGACAACGCGTGAGACGTCGAGAGTAGACGAGAACAACAAATTCAATAGAAAGCGTTCAAATTAGACGATGATTATAAATGATTTTATCGATTGTTTTTGCCCTTAATGGCCTGATAATAGCCTTTAGTATTTTTCTATAAATGTATATGCATTTCTGTATCTGTGTATAATCACAACTCAGTATTTGTTGTCGCCAATAATTGTTTTCAACAGCAAAATATTATTCCTCCTTAATATAAGATTTTCATA